TTATTGATTGTTCACATGCTGAGTAATTTAAGATGAGCCACACATTAAAAGACTGATGTTCATGAAAATGAATACCACAGCCTCATATAAAATAGTCCCCATGATCATCATTAACTTTGTTTATCCATGAAAACCTGATGCCAGGCACATGTATGATGTATTGTGTCAGGGGACAGTCGGCCAATAAATCTATCAACAATGCTTGATGACACAATGCTGTCTAATCGTTGGGGTCTGTCTGAGCAGATCAACGTTAAAAGTGACCTATTGTGAATGCCATGATATCCATGAACACAGCATAAGAGGCTTGCTTTATTTAATTTTTGATATTTTTCTTCACTTTATCTGAAAATTGAAAGTTGTATGAAAATTAATGTTTGTACATTTATTTAACCTTGTATTTATGTACTGTTAATGTTGTTTTTTGGTGAACTGTAAACAAGTGTTTTTTATAATCCATATGCACTGTAGTAAATTATGGTCATTGGCAGGGTAAGATTATTTTGTTATTTGATGCCTTCATATGTAGAGAATGACAAAATAATTGCCTTAAATTTTAAAATATTAAAGGTATTTATCATAACATTACATGATTTCCCAAGGTAATAAAAATCACCAGGTTGTATTAACATTTTCTAAAAACAACCTCAGTCACCTTGAGGCCAAAAACTGATTACTCTGGAATTTTTGCCATTAAAAGAAAATTATTTGTATAGCAAAAATATTTCTAATATATTTTTAATTTGTTAACATTTTGTTTTTAAAAATATATCTCAGGGGCGGATCTACAGATGTCCAAAAGGGGTGCCGAAAGTGGGGCTGATCAAGATCGGGAATGCACCCCAAAATTTCTGTGTTCTAGATGCCCAAAAATAAGGCCTTTTGGCCAATCAATTTTTTATTTTTCCTTTTTTAATTTTTTTTTTTGACTTTCCAAAAGGGAGACCTGGGCCGGTTGGGGCCCCCTTGTCTGTATCTGAAAACATTTAAAATCGATACATGTTTAATAATAAATACTGTAATATTTATTATTAAACATGTATCGATTTTAAATGTTTTCATGTTTAATAATAAATAGTATTTATTATTAAACATGAAAACATTTAAAATCGATACATGTTTAATAATAAATATTACAGTATTTATTATTAAACATGCATCGATTTTAAATGTTTTCATGTTTAATAATAAATACTGTAATAGTATAGTAAAATAGAACATTATAAATTATTAAATGTATAATAATTGAATTTGGCAAATATTTAGGTAGTGTTTAACTACCATATCAGCTTTAACATATATTTAATTAGAAGCTTCCAGTTTCATTGTAATTAGATTGCTCTTTATTTCCAAATACAATTATGCATTAATATTTCTTTATCTGCACCTTGACTATTGGATATATTGGATATGTATTTAATATTAGTAATTTTATCAATAGGATTATTGTTGTTCATTTTGTATGTGATCAGTAATCATCAGTGACTTTAGTAGCATGATTGTTTAATTGTATATAATTATATTTGTGGCCTTTAAAGAATTCAATGATGGTGCTATATATGTATAAATCCATTTATTGATCAATCTGTGTCATGATTTTATGGTATTGGATAACCAAATGATTCGCAAGTGACCAATGATATTTGGCTACCAAATTGGTTATATGAATACCATCCTGATCATTTGGGGCTTGTCATGACAAAACCAGCATAAGTGACTAAAAGTAAAATTGAATCATATTCTCCAACAAGCGTTAAAATGATAGAAATGGAGTTAGTATTACAGCTTCTCTGTACTGAAGTATACAATACTACCACATATTCTTATGCTAATAATAAACGTTTAACATGGTTTAACGTTTAGCAACAGTATGCTAGTTTTGGGATGGTAAGCCTTGTAAAATCATGTGGTGATCATTGGCATCATGTGATCATGTGGGATGCCATTTGCATCACATGATCAATGGGATCATGATAATGGATTTTATATTAGTATGTGGGTATTATGTGATCATTTATTTCTTGTAATCAATGGGTATCATGTACAAAATTCAGGAGATTGGAGCTGTGCTGGGTTTTTTTTTATGCATGCATTCTGATTGATAGCATTTTAAAATAGATCTTTTGAGATGTCAGTAACACTATGTCTTCGTACACTGACATCATCGACATAGAAAAAATTGACACAATACTCAATTATTGCTTCCAACAAACCAATAATTAGCCATTATTAATATTCTGGGATCAGCAAATCAGGATAGTTAGATCATTTACCTGCATATAATGACCATTATTGTCAACATATCGGTGTACTTGTATAATTATCAAATTTTTGGATTTATTTTAAAATTTAAAATTGTATTTCAAGTGTTAATTATTGTCTGTTATGTATTTCATGTCATAATGCATACAGTTTGAAATAAAATTTTAAAATATAAATACATGTGTAATGTGATATGGAAATGTGTCTGAAGTTTACCAAAGACACAACACAAAGCCAATTCATTTTTAAAGTTTAAAACTATAGTATGCTTGCAGGTTTCAGGGGCGGATTTAGGGGGGGCCGGCCTGGCCCCCTCTTTTGGGAGGTTAAAAAAAGAAAAAAAAGAGAGAAAAAGAAAAAAATGATGGCCAAGAATGCCTCAAATGTTATGTTCGGGCGTCTAGAACACAAAAATTTCGTGGGGGCATGCCCCCGGACCCCCTACGACAGTGTTGTCTCAATCGGCCCAACTTTCGGCTCCCCTTCCGGCCCCCCTTTTGGACATTTCTGGATCCGCCCCTG